AACTAGTTGACTCATAGTAGGCCTGTTTTACCATAGACGTGGGCCCTGCAGCAGAGGCTTGACTATGAGAATTACGCAGGGGCTTTAGCCTCGAGCTAATCTCCCAGACGCGGAGTGTGATAAAAAACGCATCATGGAGGACAGATGAGTTCTCATGGATCGAGTCAAATACTTGAACCAGGGAGATAGTAAAAGGATCCTACGGGGCAAGAGGGAAACTATGATAAGCTCTAGGGAAGGACTGCATAACAGTATGGCAGACTGATCAACATTCCCAGAACAAGGGTGAAGGGGGAGTGAGAATGCCAGCGTGGATTGTGGAGAATTCTCATTAAAGCCACTCAAAATGGGCACACATACTATATTTAAATAATCAAGCAAAACAGTGTGATAGTGAAGGCGTGATATGAGGATATAGGATAGGTGAATAGCCCAGGACAGGAGATATATCACAACTGTTCAGCACACATTTGGTCAAAGGATCGGCTCGACTTGTCTCCTTGACGAGTTGTAGTGTGGTGATAAGTAGCAAGACTCACCGACGATGCCGGCGAAACGTCTGAGAATGTACCATGTCCACTGCCCGACTATGGAAATTATCATGCATACAATGGACTCCGGACTAGATGCGTTCCTCTAGGTCTTACTACTAATATGATCAAGTTGCGAAAAAAAGGTCAAACAACTTCTGTACCACGAAAGGAGACTCCGGCCACACAAAAGCTCACACTATCTTGGTCTTTATACATTCGACTAAAATAATATCACATCTTGACAACAGCTAATGCGTCCAACCTCATACAGCCACACTTCATTCACATTTTAATTAATCCATAGTCTAGCCACTTATCTAACCATTTAAAGTCATCTAACCTACTATCCTGAGTAGACTATAGCCATCTTATATATTGAATATCTCATATAAGATCCCTGCATTCTTAACGCCCACTCCAGAGCAGACACTCTTGACGCAGTTTTCCAGCAACATCCTGGCCGGCAATAGCGGAAACAACCTAGTTGAACTACGTCTTGCCAACTCACCTCGGCTCGCTTCGATAGATGCTCGCTTCCTGAAACTCACAAAACGTTCAGGGCATTGGAATTTACCGGCGTTGATATCGGACACAGTGCAGCAATCATCATTTATTATTCCCAGACCTATTTCACATTGGCAAAAAAATATAACGGGCGAACAAGAAAATCGGATGCAGATGCCAAGAGAAGTAGTTAGACTCGGTCTGCAGCGATTGGAACTGATAGGTCTGAATCTAAACAGCAGGGAGCTGATCAACCTTTTCCGAGACCATGATCCAACGGATAACCAGACGGACGTTCTGCTAGGATTACGTCAGCTGGTATTACATGAGAATCGGCACCCTTTAGACTTCCCATATGATATGTTCGAGAAGGCCCCCTACTTGAATCGACTACAAATAAGTGAATGTCAGGTGCCAATGCCTATTTTTGCCATACAAGTTTCCATAATTTTTGTTCAATAATCTTTCATTATAGCAATTACGAGAATGATAGGCTTGACAACGAAGATGATACCCAAACAGTAACTTAAGAACCTAAGGCACTAACGTGCCCATTTAATAGTGTAAATGAGGAAATATTGGGTTTCTATATAGTGCGCTTATACTTCATTTATTAGGTGTTCTTCAAGTTTCATGTGCTAATCAAAAAGATATTGCAACCAATAATTTCCACATTTATTAATTCTATGCAATTATAGGGAATTTGTAACCCATTATCTAGCAGGTCCGATTAATGATGAAATAAGGTGTGGAAACTAAATAAAATAAGAAAGGTTTATAATAAAATTATAATAATAAAATAAGTTACCAATTCACAAGCCTAGTGAGATTGGAGAAAACATCACAGTTAAGTGTGAATACAAACCTTAAATTAACGGAAATAGCTAAATACCAGGTTCCTTCTAAGCCACTAAAGTTAACTAAGACCATGAAGTGCGTGATCAATAAGTGTAGCAATTGATTATAAAAAGCTTTTATATGAATCAAATAATCATTCGAACATCTTGGAAATAAATATCAAAGTTGAGCCAATTATGAATGAGGTTTTAAAAGAATAACTAGGTCAAATAAAAGGAGGCAATAGGCAAGTTAGTACGCAAAGTACTGTGGAAATAGCCACTAATATTTGTATAAACGTAGAAATAAAATACAAAAAGTCTATGGAGAAACAACACTGTTGTCGATTGTGCTATAATAAAAAAGGAATAATCCCATTTCCCTAGGGTAAATATATATAAAATATTATTATAATGTATAATATATATAATATAATATAAATATATAAAACATAAAGATAAGCAAAAATCGCATACTCAAAACACGCAATCGTAAGCTTAAATTAAAACATCAGTCACATCGCACTGCTTACAATGCAACCTGGGCATTGAGGCTATCCATATTGACTAAAGTCACTTAGCTTAATTATATAAATAGTGTTTATTTTAAAGACATATAAGAGCTGAAACAGCTGCCAGGAAAAAGGGACCAACAAATGCAGTAGATGGGCAAAAAATAGCTTTGTTAATATGAAGGCATTATGGAAAGGAAAAGTAAAATGAACGAGTGAAATATGCTTTCGCACCAATAAACTTGTAAAAGCGAGTCAGCAGGCCATAAGAATGCCGGATTGATTCTAAGACCTAGTAGCCGAATACTGTCCTCCGATTCAAACAGAAGCAGCGTGTAGGAAAGAAAAACTAATTTTACACAGCACCATAATCCATAGAGTGAATTATGCATTATAAAAATATCATTCTTAAACGTCTCTTCTTATATCCTTTTTTAATGACGAATTGTACTAAATAAAATAGATTGAAGACTACAGATTCTTAAGTTCGCTTCATACGCGCGAACTTATTCTGCGTCGAATAAAAAGCCCAGATGCCGGCATTTCCACTTCCCTTCAGAGCACTGCAATAGCCAAGCACTTTCAGCTATGGCGATATACCCGACTTGCAGAGTCAATAGTCCACCTTGATCTTAGTGAGTCCGAATGGACTGGAGAACTTTTAGCTGTCTCACGGTTCAACTCAAAAAGCCCCAGTTCTTCAACTTACAAAGTATCGCCATCGATATCAGATAATAGCATCATTAGCGCTAACAGTCATGTCAGACGCATCGAGCTTACTGAGATGCCACATCTGGAACGACTCAATATAGCCGGAAATAGGGTGTTGGAAATAAACCTGGATCTAGTCAACAGAATGGCCAGTAATTGGCTACCTAAGCTGCGCTGGCTCGACCTTCGAGCCAACCAACTTACGAGTCTAGCCTGGCTCTGGGACGCCTCTACTGAGGCTCGAAGACACCTAACTGGCGGAAGCCTTGACGAACTCGGATTCCAAATTCAAAGTGGCTATATTGGGAGTGGGAGGAGAAGATTTGGAGATGCTGCGGAAGTAAGAGTACAGCAAGATAGACCTCTACAATTACATCTATCAGGTAATCCAATCCATTGCAACTGTGAGCTGGCTAATTTAGCTGCTGCTGCAGCGGAGGCAAAAATCGGATTAACCTGGCTGCGCCAAGTCCCTTGTACTACATTGACAGTACGCAGTAGAGGCTTAATGGGGAACCAAGCCATGCAGATGGCTGCACATGAAGGTACCACCCTGGCTGATTGGCAGAATTGGAGACAGGCATATGTGGGCGTCTCGACGCCAGCCAACAAATCAATCCCTATGGTAAATAGCCTCAAACTTGAAAACCAAGAAAAAAAATTGGTGGAAGAGCTTGCCTGCCTAGCACCCTCGCCACCGCGGCTTACGATAGAAACTCCTACAAACATCAGAACCATTTGGTTAAGACAAATGCTCTCGCGAAATGGAGTAAGTAAAGCGGTTGTGAAGTAAAGTTTTAGTACAGTTAGATAATATTTTATGATTGTATTTTACTCTTAATTGTCTTATATTTAATCTGTATCAAATAGAATAAAAGTAACTACATATCCAAAGGAACTTTAGGCTATCCCGCTTCAGGAAAGATATTCATGTCTTAAGATTAGAGGCAAGAAGGGCCGCAGACGATTTAATAACCTAAAAATAGTGAGTAGGGTTTCGAGACTACATCTCATTACACTAAAAATAGTAGTCCACATAGGTATGTCCGTAACGAACTAATGGATACCTTTAGATGTCGCAGCCAACTGGAGAATCTTGAAGTAACACTCTAGATCGACTAGACCAAAGAAACGAGTGAAAAAATGTGATATACTTAATAATTTTGCTAGTTCATCTAAACAACAATATGCAGATAAAGGAGTGTTTAGATAAAGATAATATATAAATATTGATGTGACAGTATAAGTTTAATGCATTCTATTTAAGAACATACAAATAAATGTCAACAATCAAGGAATCGGTCCTCAGTAAATTCGCTAGAGGATAACAATATAAATCAATCTACTAATTCAACTTGGCCCTAGCTCTACTTAAAAAATGGTCTGACGAAGGATGCATGTGGAAAATCACTCAAGATAAATAAGATCTGAGACAGGTGAAATAAATAAATTGACAATAGTCTGATTTATAAAGTATTCATAAGACCATTCTACAAGTTAGAAAGCTATTTATTAAAAATAAATAACAGTGCAGCAAATATTAATTAGACGAGATTTAAACATGCTGGAAATGGTAAGCTCGCACAACTGAAACAAAGTAAAATGAAATTTTTCAACTATACACGAACAAGATTTATTACAAACATTTAATTTTTAAAGTGAATGAATATGTGTAGAGAATAGGCTGAAATAAACGTTTGAAAAAATGTCATATCATAAATGCTATTAATATATGATATATTTTAGTTTTACAGCTACGAATTGGATATATTTTCAAGAGTGAACGCGTCAATAAGTTGTATCAGTTCAGGTGACCCTCCACCTACACTCGTTTGGCGTCGTGCGAAGCCCGAGGACGACAAAATGGAGACCGAATTGGCCTTAGTAACAACGCGGCTGAGAGGCCCGATGGCTCCTGCTATGTCAGCACAACTCAACCTAGAGACGGATGTAAAGTGGGAGCAACAAACGCAGCAAATACTACAACAGACCTGGGTGTGTACGGCCACCAACCTAGCTGGAGAAGGTCAAGCTGAGCTAAAGATAATCAAACGAAGCAAATCAACTTCAGAAGTACCAACACAAGCAGAAGAGAATCTCGAGAATTTCGAACCCCCGAAATACCAGAGCAGCAGTTTCATCGAAAGTGGAGCATACGAACAGGGTATGGAGTCATGGCCAAAGAATAAAGTGGTTATTAAAACACAAGGGACGGAGTCAAAGAAACAAATAACAATATGGCCACGGGTCGAACAAGTTGCTAGTAGTCGAATAGCCGCAGCGGATGGTACAAGCATCAATAGACAGATGACAGCCAGCTGGAAGTTAGTAGTGATTTCTTTCAGCATCATCCATGGAACCAAATGAATTTGACCAATTAATCAATGCAAACGAAATCGCTAAATGATCAGCGATATTTATACTCCGCAAAATATTCAATTTAGGTGAGTATGCAAATGAAAAAGCATCAGTAATATACTCACCAATAACATAATTAACATAAGAATAAGATGATCTTGACGAAGCAGCTTCAAAACGAATAACTTTTTTTCTTTTTATAACATTTTTATAATTTAAAAAGCGAAAAATGAGCCCAAATGTAGGAGTGAGCGCTTTCTGCTTACCAGGTGTTATAACGTTAGAATCAAATATGGGGAGATCCTCGTATTCATTTTTCTCCTTCGCGTTTTCAATGTCTTTTTTTGCTTCCCTTACAACCCTAGAGAACATAAATGTTAAATTTAAAGTGGATTTAGCTGATATGGTAATGAAAAACCCTAACTAAAGAAAATATTAGATGAAAAACTCAGAGTAGAATGGTTGAATCAAACAAATCGAGAGTAAATCAGCAACAATATGATGGTTCATTATAAAAATCCTGCAGTGTATTCCATGAGTAGGATGATTTTCCGAAAAAAAGCGAATAAAGAAAAATCAATTTTATTCAACGGACATACTAACGTTTAATATCAATTAAGTATAACCGGCCTGCTCTAGCCAAATCCCACAATATTAATCAATTTACAAATAACAGAGATCACAATTATTTGAGCAGCAAGAGAAGGCCTATTATTAGAACTCGGGAATGTGTCGAAATGGTTGTATAGAGGAATG